TATCTAATTCATTAATTCTTTTCTTAACATATCAATTTTTTGCTATATGACCAGTTTTACCACATTTATAACATATTATAAGATCACGCGATTCTTTTTGATAAGTTCTATTGGATTTTTTGTTGAATTTTTTATAAGGTTTCTCATTTATTCTTTTTTCTTTATATTTTTTTTTCATGATTTTCTTTAGATTTATTTTTTGAAAATCTTTTCTTAGAATATTTTTTGTGTTTTGATAAGGATGGTGTTGAAATAGGTTGATATCCATATTGTTGACAAAAATCTCCTAATTCATTTTTGCTTGAAATTCTATCTTTTTTGAGTTTTGCGTTTAGTCTTGAATCTGAACATATTGGTAAACCTTCCTTATTAACATAACTAATGATTTCACCATAAGTTAAATCTTTGTAAGGGATTTGATTAGTGTACTTTTCTCTTAGAGTATTTCTTATTTTTTCTGCAATAAACCTTTCTTTCCAGTAAGCTTCTTTGCAGTCTGGTCTTAACATAACTTTAGTTAGGAACATATCTTTATACCATCTAAAATCTTGATGTTTTCTACAAGTTAGAATTAAGAGTATTTCAGCACTTTTTTCTTGGAATAAAGTTGGATCACCTATATAATTTTTAATAATAGCGTATATTAACGTATTAATAATATCATCTTCTTGAGTAGTAGTGGTTTGATTATTTTCTTGTTTGATCACAGATTTCTTGGCAGTTAGTATATGCGTTTTTTCATCTTTAGTAACATATAGATCCCACCGGCCCTTTAAATTGCCAGTAAATCCAGAGGTTAATAAATCAGCTATTTGTTTTTGATTATTTCCTTTAATTGCATAAGCATTTGCAGCCATGTTTATCTCTTGAATCATATTTAAGATTTGATGTTCGGTTAATCCGTCTATATTCCATTCATATACGGATGTACCGTCATATTGACTACGACTCATAGAAAATTCTCTATCTTCGTATTGAACATCTGGAAAAGTTGGTCTACGATAATAATTAAAAGTATTTGGTGTATTTGTTGAAACATTGCTTTTAAAATTGATTCTATTAACATTATTTGAGAATTGATTTTGAAGTTGAGCAACTTGATTACAGCCTTCATCTGTTTCTGAAGAACTATCAGTATTTTGATTAATCATATTAATTTTCATTCCAATTAATTTTTGTTCTAATTCATTGACTAATTTTTTTATTATATCCTAGATTTGTTGTTGGATCAAGTTGTTGTGGGATAAACATTGGATTCTCCACATAGGTCTTTAGTGGAGTAGATGTGTCATCCTTTTTGTAAGACTCGAGTTTTAAAAACATTCTCGTTAACTTACCCAAATTGTACCGTACTTAAATAACGGTCGGTAATTGTTGAAGGGTTAAAACCGTCAAATTACT